GATGAAAATTTTAAGCAAAATAAATAATTTTATTTTTCAGTAAACAAAACTAAAACGAAAAAAAGTTTCCGAGCAGCTTGTTGTTTTTGCTCGAAAACAAAAATATTAATGAAAAAGTTCAGTTACAATTGAATACACTTTTGCGGACCTTAAAATTAAAGGTAAGCAGAGAAAAATTTGAATTGCGAGAGCAGCATCAGAGAGAAGAATAAGAAGACAGAATCAAATACACAGTTATCTAATAGACATTCAAATATTTTTTTTTGTTTTTGTGCTGAGCACGAAAAAAAATCTCAATTCATTCATAATGCCTTTTAACATTGCCCACATTCATGAAATAAAAAAAAAACTTTCTCTCTCTTCTTATTATTTCAGCAATTTTTTTTTGTTGTCTTCTTCTTCTTCCTTTCCTTTCCTTTCAAGCGATTTTTTGGCTCTTTGAAACGCAAAGAGTGAATTTTTTTGCTGTACTTACAGCAACATTTTTGGCTTTTGTATAGCAGAAAAAGAGACTGATTGAGTGAGGTAAGTGAAAGAGTGATCGAGATGATGATTGGAGATGAAGATATTTGGTGGTGATGCGGATGTAGTGCAGTTTTCGCAATGGAATGTTGCTTGGAAAGTAAAATTTAAACGAAATTTGAAAAGTCTGATTATAGCTTGAAGTAGCTGACTTTTTGAATGGAACAAGAGCAAGAGGAAGACCGAAGAATTCTTGGATTGGTTGTGTTGAAAATGGACGCTAGAGTCCTGAATATCCTGAACTGGATCAACTTTCAAAAGAGATTCTATTTTCTTAATAAAAATTTAAATCTGAAAAAGGAGTGACCAGACACCCCAACTTAGTTGATCTTAGTAGATCCTTGTAGATCTTAGTAGATCCTTGTAGATCCTAGTAGATCCTGGTAGATCCTAGTAATCTCTAGTAGACTTACTAGTGGACTTAGTGTATGTTTGTAGCAAGAAAAAACCTTACTTTGATAAATACTAGCTTTAAAAGTATCAACTAAATTAGTCAAAAATTCACCATCAAATCCACCTAATAATCCGTCCAACATTCCAATCTTTTCCCCCCTTTAATCCAAGCCACAGACAAACTTAAAACAAAAAATTTCTTTTATGAAAGAAAAACTTTTCATCTCACCATTAAACAACAACAAAATAAAATAAAAAATAAAAAAAAATTTCAAAAACAAAACGGTAACTGACAAATTATAACATTGAATAGCAATTTAAAAATTATTATTTTTTTTTTCTCAAAATAAGACAGAAAAACTGAGAAGCTGAGTGAGAGAGAAAGAGAGAGAATAAACAATGAAATGAGACACGAAAAGTATTTCAGCCTCAACACACATTCTCAACAAAGAAAAACCCACTAGCAAAGTAACTATATGGCCTTAATTTTTGACTTCATGGAACTCGACGAGAGAAAAACAACAAAAAATAAAAAAAAAAAAAATTTGCGAATTTTTTTCATCATCATCATCTTCATGCGAGTATGTGTGTAATGTATTCACGGTTTTTAAACGGTTTTCTTTTCTATATGCCGATTATGTCATGTTAAATATAGATTTCGCATGTGTACGAACATAATTGAAGTATTAATTAATTTTCAACGGCGGTCTTTTTTTTGTGAAATTATAGAAAGAAAAAAAAAATTGTAGATTTTTGTGTCGTTCGGAATAAGAAAAAAAAAGTTTTCCTCTCCGTGCTGCATTAAAATAATGAAATGAGGCAGAGAAAGAGAGGAATGAATGTAGGTTGTGGAAAAATTAAAATTGTCGGGGGCGCCAAGACAAAATTTTTTTTTACTTCTTCTTATTTTCTTGCCTTTTGATTTTTCCATTGTGGGACGAATTTTCCTCTCTGGCTTTCTCTTTTTTTTTGTGTTTATGTTTTTCTTAGGAAAGGTTTTTTTTGGAGCTATGTTTGCACTTAGCCTTCATGTTTATGGTATAGTAACATAGATTTTAAGGGTAGAAATGTGAAAATGTAATCAATAAAGATTCACATTTAATAAAAAATTATTTAAAGGTATTTTTTAATTTTTTATAAAATCCATACAACCCTAGTTTATGAAAAACATCCGTATTGAATTATGCAAACTAATGGTGAGGACTCTTAGGTACTTAATGAGTTCTAAATAAGGTTTAAGTAATTTTACAAGAATTTATGGCCCCTAAGGTCAACCTGTGCACACCACACACTAGTTTTTAAAGATTTTTTTCATAATATTGCAACTCTATCGAAGGTCCTCAATGATATTCTAAGACCATACCTCCTTGATAAGACAATAGTAGGTTTAATAGTTACCATATCATGAAAAATGCGTTTGAATTCAGCATTTAAATACAGTTTCGAACTCATTCTAATTAAATATTTATATCCCTTTCCTCCAACTCATTCATGAAACATCTTTTCACTTTAAATAAATGATACAACCGCTAACATAAACCAAGAGAGCCTCAATTCGACGTTTACGTGATCATTTATTTACGAGAGACTGAATATTACCAAACAATAATAATCAATTAAAAAGTAACACGCAAGAGAACTACAACAATTGAATTATACAGTTTGAACTTGAACCAAAAACACATTTTTAGAGGATTGCGAGTGATGAATATACACACAACATACAAAATATACATAAAAAAATTTATTGTATTCACTCGGTACAATCATTAACGGACACGGAGGAGTGAGAGAAAATTTTCCTCGAAAAAGAAAAACTACGCAGTTTACAAATTCTCATCTCGAGTGGACTCTCATGCATAAATATTTTTTTTTCTTCTTTAAATTACAAATAGTTGTGAAATTGTTTTCATATCATCGGTTGTTATTTTTAGGGGGGAAATATGATTTTTTTTTAAATAATGCAAATCTCTTCTTTTTTTTATTGAATATTAAAAAAATATTTCAATTGGATTTTTTTTATACCACTGAAAATTCTATTTTATGGCTTATTTAAAAACTTAATTTGATTTTAAACGGGGAATTGAAATGAAAATTTGATTCTTTTTTTTTTTTGGTTGATTGTTGTGTGGCGCTTGAGGATAGGCATGTAAATTTTTTTGTAGAATTTTTTGTTTTGATTGTTGGTAAAGTTTTGAGGTGCTTCGAATTTTTTAAGTAAAAGAAGAATTACAATTTTACACTTTTTTGTGTTGAATTTTATTGCATTTTGATAGGAGAGGTGATTTTTAATGCAATAAAATTTGTTCAGAAATTTAAAAAAATTTGAAAATTAAATTAATATTTGATTTAATATTACACCTTTTAAAAATCCAAAGTTATCTGACCCCTTGCCATATGCCAAAAACTTCCAATAACCTCAATTAATTAGCACAATTTAGCATTTCATTTCCCCCCGTCAAAACAATTCCACGAAATCCAACTAGCAAAAAATTAAAATTCGTGTGCCTCAAAAACTTATTCCGCTTCTTATTTCAAGCGACTAATTAATTTATTTTTTGTGTAATTCGAGATATCTTCCAAAAAAAAACAAAATGTTAAAAACCTCAAAAATGAACTTTGTAAACAAATTTGCATTCAACACAAAATAAAGTAAAATATTTGAAGGAGTTCATTGTATTCTGTCACGACTGAGGCTTTGCGGTGGGTTTTTTGGTGTTGTTTTTTAAAGTTTTAAATTCAGGGATTTTGTTTTGTGGTTGTGTGGAGCAGAGATTTTATATAAGTAGGTTCACTAAAGCTTTATATGTTCTTCATCCTATTCTAAGACCCAACCTAAGTCTAAACTAAAATGATGTTTGAGCAATTATGGATCTGGAGTAACCCCTGTACAACACTCACGAGACACCATAAAAAAACCAGAAATTCTCTAAAATTTTGAAAAATTAGCGAATCAAAATTCTTCAAAGAAACTGAAACATTTTTTTTTTGATTTTTCAAATTTTCTCATGAATTTCTCGTTTCAAAAAACAGCAAAAAATGCCACAATTCATGTATTTCCCTTCACAGCCATAATTCATTTTATTTTCCAAGCAGCACAATTTAATTCATACTCGGCAGTGTTTTTATTAAAATGTAATTTAATACTCGAGACGGTGCAGAGCAAGAAGAGCACAAAAAGGTAAACAAATGGCCTTTTTTATGCAGTCGCAAGGATGAATTCCAACTAAATGTTGTGTCTAGAGTGTCTCGAAAATCAACAGAACTGCTAAAAAAATTCCCACACTGAGCAAAAATTATTATTTCATGCACTTTCAATTTATGACTTTTCTTTCACTTTCTTTACTTTGCTTCTCAATATTTTTTATTCGCTTTTGTTGTAGCTGCTTGTAGGAGTTCTTCTTCTTATCACTTTGGCCTCTTTTCTTCACTTCTTCTTGCTTTATTTCTATTCAATATTTTTATTTTATTTTATTTCTTCGTCGTCGTTTTGTGCGATTTAAAAATTCGATGGGAATAAAAACAATTCACTTTAAATATTTAATTAAATTAAATTGCGCAATTAAAATAAATTTCATTTAATATTATTCATAGAAAATTTTTTGCACGATAGCTACAGTTTTTTTTTGTATATATTTCAATGAGATTTTCGTGGATTTGTTTTGAAGAAAATGCAAACGCACTCACGGCTGGCTGTGTGTGGAGTCTCAACAAATTTTCTATTGATAACACAATGAAAGATTTTCATTTTTTTTGGTGCTCTGGTCTGAGGTTATTTTTTTTTCTCGTATTTCTGCGATTTATTTGAATTGCAAAAGAGATTTTTTTTGTAGATTTTGTTTAAGTTTTAAGATTTTTTGGAGAAATTTAACTTTTTTGACTTTTTTAAAAATTGTTAAAATTTTTGATTATTTTGAAAAGACTATTCGAAACTTTTCAAAATTTGTAGAAAGATTCACAGTTAAAAAGAATCTATTTTTTAAAGCTTCATTTAATTTTTATCAAAAGTTTCATTAAAAACTTAAACATTTGTATTTCTAAACCCAAAGTCATTCTTAACTTAACTTATTTAATTACACACTTACTTTCAATCTTTCACAAAAAAATTATTTTGACTTCTCAAAATTTCTTCTTGTTTAATTTTGAGATTTCTCTTCTGAATCTTTTATTTTGTCACACTGTGTGTTCAAGATTTTCTTTTCTTTTTATTTCTTTCTTGAAATTTTGTTTTGATTCTTTTACATTGAAATTTTATATTCTTTTGGAGACTTTTTGCAAATTTTGAAACTAAACTTTGGGATTTTTTTTTTAATTTGCAACTTTTAATTTTTCTATGAATCTTGTAGATTCTCTGGATTATTTCACTAATTTTTTTCTAATTTTGCTGGCAGTTTTTAAATTTTTTCATTGACTTTTTTAATTTTGGAATTTTTGGCTATTTTTATTTGAAATTTAAACACTTTTTTCACTTTTTGCAACTTTTTCTTTGATATTCTATTAAATTGCAACTTTTATTGAATATTTCAATTTTTGGAATTTTTTATTTTTTAAAATTTTAAAACTTTTAAGGTTTTCCAAAATTATATTTTGTATTTTTTAAAATTTTAGTTGACACATTTTTGAATGCTTTTGTTTAAATTTTTCAATATTTTTAAAATTTCAGCTTCACAATATTTTTGTATTTTAACTTTTCAGTATTTTAAAATGTCAACTTTTCAATATTATTCTTAATTTGAAATGATCAATTTTTTGAAAATTTCAAATCTTTTTTAATCTTTTCTTTTTATTTTATTTTCCTTGAATTTTTTATGAATTTATTTATTCTTCACTCAATTTTCAATATTTCAAAAATTTTAATTCAATTTTCAATTTTTCACTTTCATTGACTTTTTAATAAACACTGACAAATAAAAATAAATTTTCCCGACTGAACTTAGAGGATCGCGCCGAAAAAAACTTTTCATTTGTTGTTGTTTGTGCCTCTTTTGTTTTGCAAATTTCAAGTCGAGCTCTAATTTTTCCCGTCAAGAGGAAAAAAACCGCGCAATAATTTTTCTCGTCGTCTATTTTATTTCAATTTCAAAGAAAATTCTTCTTTCTTGTCATTTAACGCGAGCAATAATAAATTTTTTTATTTATCTCGCGCCTTTTTGAATTCAACTTTAATTTTCCACTTTCATTCACCGAAAATTATTTTTCAACTTCTTCTTTTTTTATGTTTTGATTTCTTTTTTCGTATTTTTTTTTTCTTTATTATTAAACTTTTCTTTTATCTTCTCTTCCACTCCGTACACAGAAAAAAAATTTATTTATTATTTTCTTTTAGTCTCGCGGAACAGAAATGAACAAAAAAATATTCACGCAACGCAAATTTCTACGGTGTTTCGTGTTCAAGCGCTAAACGCAGAGTAAAAATGTTGAAAACAAAATAAAAAAAATACTTCACACACAACATAGCGCGCGGAGAGCATGAAAAATGTGTCTGTATGGATGTCTGTGTGTAGATGTTGAGGAAAGAAGACAAAAAAAAGCAAGCAAAAATACGTTTTGGATATAGTACGAGTATTGTAGCAATGTGCTTTAAATTGCAAAAGTGTTGTTGTTAGGTAGCGTAAAATTTACTACAGCAAATGAAAGGAACAACAATTCTCAGAGAAGAGAGTCACTCCGTAGAGTGAGTGAGAAAGGCAGCTACAAACATTGACATAGTCCTCGTACTTGTGTTTGTGAATATGAGAATGAAAAACAAAAATATTTCGTGTGTAGCTACATGTCTGCATATTTTTCTAGAAAGTATTTAATTGTATTTGTGATACACTAATACAATGACAACAACTAGACCTGTTCATGTATGTATGGACATATTTTTCATCATCATCATCGTGGCATACAGCATAATAACAAAAATAAACATTAAAAAAAATAGTTATTTCATCAATGTTCGAAAATAGCTCGACTGACTCGAGTCATTCAGCAATTTGTAAAACAAAAGAGTATATGCATATACATGGAATGTGACCCGATAACAGAAAATGTTGGGAAAATACGCATTTACAATTCTCTTCGTTTTTTTTTTGTTGTTGGTGCTATCACGTCACATGCTTATTACTATTTATTTTCATTTTTATCTTTTCATTCTATACAGCAATTATAAGCAGGCTAATGGGGTGGCAATGACGAGGCACAACAAAACAACAACAATAATAATAATAAAGTCTAATTTGAATTCAATATCGAAAATTTATTTTTCATTTGTCTCTCAAAATATTCTTTTTTTACTAAGCAATTCCTTTGTCTCAAACACATTTGTGGCTGATGATATTAGCAATACTAGTTTGTGATTAGCAATACTAGTTTTTTTTTTGTTATTTGCGTAGAATATTTCGCAGCATTTATAATTTAACGATTGAATCATGCTGAAGCTTTGAGATAGCCGCATTCGTATAGATGTTTTATCTTTGTGGTTTTTTGATAAATTCTGAAGAATTTTCAGATGTCGTTTTTATTTAATTATGAGTGTATTTAAGATTCTGAGAATAATTTGGTCAGATTTATTTTGATTCATTTTGACTTGCTTTGACATATTATCACTCAACATGATCCAATCTGACTCAACTTGATCCAATCTAACCCAACTTGATCCAATCTGTCTCAACTTGATTTAATCTTACCCAGTTTCATTCATTTAGACTTGACTTGATCCAATTTGACTCAACTTGATCTAATTAGAATTAAATTAATCAATTTAAATTCATGTTGATCCATTTAGATTCAATTTGATTCATTTATAACCAACTTGATCAATTTCTTGTCAACTTGATCCATTTCTAAACAATTTGATCCATTTCTAATCAACTTAATAAATTTAGAATCAACTTGTTCCATTTAGACTCAACTTTATCTAATCTTACTCTACTTGATCCAATCTGCCTTAACTTGACTCATTTTAACTTAGCTTGGCCCATTCAAACTAACCTGATGTGTTGTATTTTGACTCAACTTGACTATTTTGGACTCAACTTGACCCAATTTTATTCATCTAAGCTCCAATCAATTCCAATATTCCAACAAAATTAGAACACACTTCACAAGGGATTAAAGAGGAAATAACAACTTAACTGGGAATTTTTCATTACGTCAAACTTTTACAACGGTTAGTCTTATCATTTTTTTTTTGCACACAGAATTTCAAGTTCAAGTTTAGTGATTACAAATTTATTAGGTTAAGTTCTATAGAAAAATATTAACTAGGCTAAGTTTTAATGAAAATTTACAATTGGGGCTTGGGATTAAATATAAAAATTCAAAGAAAAATTGCAAAGTATTTTGCGCAGCGTGTAAAATTTCGTAACACATTGTTGTGTGATTAATAATTATGAGAAATTCGAGGAATCGCTGCTTTGACGTCATTTTATTTTTAAATTTTGTGACTGAAATGTGTGACTGGTGGATGAATGAGTAGTCAGGTGTTTATTTTTTGGGAATAATGAATGAGAAGGAATGTTGCAAAATACTTTTGTAAGCAGTTGTTGAGTAGGTTTCGAGATTGATGAAGCTATAGATTCCGTTGGGATCTTGGACACACTTCTTAAATAAAAATTGGACTCAAAAAACGTTTGAACTTTACAAATCTAGTGAAATCTAGAGAAAGGAAACAGGATCCCCTAAAAAAATCCAAATACCAAATTCTCAGCAATAACAAAATTTCCCATTAAACCCAAATAAATATTCATATCTTTCCACATCCTCCTAATGACACAGCATATTTTAAAAACTCATCAAGTCTTTGACTCTTTTTTTTATTTTATTTTTTTTTATTTAAAATCTGACCACTTCTATAGACTTTTTATTTTATTTTAAAATATTTTCTATTTATTGTTCAAATATTCATACATTCCGGACATGCCAATGAATATTTTTTGTAAACATTTGTTTACACACTTTATTATTTGTTGCAGTCATTTGGATTTTTTTTTGTCGACCGCTTAGCTGAATTCTTACGAATTTTATGAATGACTTGTTTTGATGAATTATTTAATTTTGTTTTATTGTTGTTTTAAAATGAAATAAAATGAGTAATTTGTTTTGATACTTTTGGAGAAATTGGTTTGTTTTGAGTAAAGTTTGGGGGTCTTGATCTTTATATTGATGTATTCTTTGACAAAGGATTGATATTTCTTTGCAAATCTATCAAACCAAGTGTAAGACTAATTTCAAAGTAGTTTTGAACCTATATGAAATGCTTTGCTGGTCGAATAGGAAAGGAGCTAGGCTTAATAATTTGGTATGGTAACTCAAAGGTCTTCGGTTCAAATCCCAACATGTTGTAATTAATAGATAAGAGATCAAAGCTACGATCTGCCATAGGTCAAGGGAAAAAGCCCATCTGTCACAGATGAAGTCAAAATTTTTCACCTGTCATAGACCTCATTTGTCGCAGACCGCTATCTGTCACAGCGATCTGTGAAAGGTCATCTTTAAACAGATCTGTCACTTTTGACAGATACCTGTCATCGCAACTCTGCAACAAATAAGAAATCAGTGTAGAGATGTAAATAACTAGGTTCGAATCCTCCTACAGAACATCTCGAAGTAAACTGATTCTGACCCTATTAAGTAGAGCATCCTAGCCTTGAATTGACAATGGATGGGATTCACAATTCTTTGGTAGGACATCTAGAATATCCCTAAAACCTACTCTAAACCTTAATTCTTTCTAAATTTTGCCCAATTATTTATTGATTCTATGCATTAGGGGCCATTCACTTATTACGTAACGCTTTTAGGGGGAGGGGGGTCTAAGATTTTGTTACGGTTCAGACAAGGAAATTTTTATTTCATACAAATTTTGTTACGAGGGGGGGGGGGGGTCTAAGAAGTCATTTTGTCGCGTTACGTAATAAGTGAACAGCCCCTTATCAAAAGTAACAAAAACATTCTGTCGCCCTCCAAAAATAAAATAAAATAATAATTTTATCATACGAAACAAACAATTTTTTCCTAGAATTCCATTATCAGTATCACATTTAATACTTTCAGTACAAAAAAGGCAATAACAACTACAATAATAATAATACTAATAGTAAATACTGTTGTTGCCCATGATGATGATGATGTTGAAGTAAAGAAAAAATATAAATTACAGAACTATGCATGACGTTGACAAACAATCACAAATACAGTCTCATAAATTTTATTATTTATTTTGACTGAGATGAAGAAAGGCAGCAGCACCAGAAAAAGAAGAAGAAAAAAAAATATGAAACTTCATTTGGAGTTGGAAAATTTGGCGCAACTAAAAAGGAAGAAAAAAAAACTTTTCCCTCGCAATTTTGCAGATGAAAAAATAAATTTTCTCTTTCCTGCCACTCTTTTTGTGTGTTGTGTCTACAAAGCAGTGTTTCGAGATGGAACAAGAAGACAAATAGAACCCGTAAAAAAAATGTACAACGTAGATTGTGGGTGGGCAGGAGAATGTAGAGCAAGGTGGGGTAGAGGACGACATCAAAAACAAAGAGAACGAAATGTGTGCCCTATTTAAATTTTATGCTGCATTCATTTATTCTGCACATCTCATGCCGTACCTTTATTTATTTTTCACCAACAT